GAGCTGGTACCGTCGCTGCTACTTAGCTAGCCTGCTGCTGCCACCGGCTGAACCACGGTGGTGGCGGTGGTGCGCTGGTTCGCCTGCCGCTCTACGCGCCTCCTTCGTCCTCCCTCTCTCCATTTTCTGACTGCAGCAGCCCTGTTCTCCCGCGAGCCCCGAGGTACCAGCGAATCCTAGGCAGTGTCGGCCCGGTTCCAAACCGAGTGCAGCCGCTGTCTCTGTGTGTTTCTTTCTCTCTTGCGTTAGGGCCAGATCAGAGCTTCAGACTCGCTGTCATTCATCTCCCCGTGTCTCTCCGTCTCTCAGTCTCCCTGCCGCTGTCGTCAGTTCTCTCCACACTCTGTCTTTGCCCAGGCATTGCCAGCCATATGATATCATTGAGTGCCTTATATGGGAATGAGGTGTGTGTGTGTGGCGGGGGGGTTGCCATGGCAACCGTGGACTCCACCTGTTTCCCTCTGTCTCTGTGTATCTTTCTCTGTCCTCGCTCTCTTTCTCATATACTCTTTGTATCTCTCTATCTCTCTCTCAGTGTATTATATATGACTTTCTCAGTTTCTCTTCTTCGCACACTTTATCTCATTGTATCTTGATTCACTCCACTTTCTTTCCTCTTTCTCATTTTCATGCGTGCAGATAGATGGCTGCGCCAGGGTAAACATACAGAGTAAATGAAAAGCAAAAATGAGGAAAAATTGTAGGAAACGAGGAATACTGGTGAGAGGAATGGCGAATGATGGTCCTCCCAGGGAAGTGATTGGAGGGATGGAGAGATCTGAGAATTGAGAGATGGAGAGATCTGAGGATAGAGAGATGGAGAGATCTGAGGATAGAGAGATGGAGAGATCTGAGGATAGAGAGATGGAGAGATCTGAGGATAGAGAGATGGAGAGATCTGAGGATAGAGAGATGGAGAGATCTGAGGATAGAGAGATGGAGAGATCTGAGGATAGAGAGATGGAGAGATCTGAGGATAGAGAGATGGAGAGATCTGAGGATAGAGAGATGGAGAGATCTGAGGATAGAGAGATGGAGAGATCTGAGGATAGAGAGATGGAGAGATCTGAGGATAGAGAGATGGAGAGATCTGAGGATAGAGAGATGGAGAGATCTGAGGATAGAGAGATGGAGAGATCTGAGGATAGAGAGATGGAGAGATCTGAGGATAGAGAGATGGAGAGATCTGAGGATAGAGAGATGGAGAGATCTGAGGATAGAGAGATGGAGAGATCTGAGGATAGAGAGATGGAGAGATCTGAGGGGGCGAAGTAAGAGAGGTGTTGGGCTGTGTGGATAGTGGCCAGGGTGTTCAGAGAGGTGTTGGGCTGTGTGGATATAATGTGGACAGGGTGTTCAGAGAGGTGTTGGGATGTGTGGATATAATGTGGACAGGGTGTTCAGAGAGGTGTTGGGCTGTGTGGATATAATGTGGACAGGGTGTTCAGAGAGGTGTTGGGATGTGTGGATATAATGTGGACAGGGTGTTCAGAGAGGTGTTGGGCTGTGTGGATATAATGTGGACAGGGTGTTCAGAGAGGTGTTGGGCTGTGTGGATATAATGTGGACAGGGTGTTCAGAGAGGTGTTGGGATGTGTGGATATAATGTGGACAGGGTGTTCAGAGAGGTGTTGGGATGTGTGGATATAATGTGGACAGGGTGTTCAGAGAGGTGTTGGGCTGTGTGGATATAATGTGGACAGGGTGTTCAGAGAGGTGTTGGGCTGTGTGGATATAATGTGGACAGGGTGTTCAGAGAGGTGTTGCTACCTGTTGCTGGCGTCCACAGTTCGGGGAGCCCTGTCCCTGGGAACCACACGGGCTGGCCGGGTACTTCTGGTTCCTCTGGAGGTCCATGAAACCTTCTCGCTGGCGCTCCATGTCCACCTTGTGGTGATTGGTGTGGGCCTCCACGCTCTTGGTCGCTATGGCATTGTGGCGTAGGCGTTCACCCGAGGTGGACGCCAGTCCCCCGTTGTTGTTGTCAGGGAAACGACGGGCACCATGGGCCAATGTGTGGTACTCCCGCGGGAACTCGGCATCGCCGGCAGAGGTCATGTGACCCTTTCGTGTCTCCCGACCTGGAGGGGTCAGAAGTGAGGGAATGTGGGGTCAGAGGTCAAGGAGAGAAATTAATGTGCTGTAATGGGTTTTTATTATATTTCTAACAACTATATAATTTTCAACTATAGCCTTCTAAGAATTACAGCTGAGTGAGTGTTGAGTTATTGATTATGAAACTAACGTTTGTCTTGAAAATAATCCAGTCCATATCACAACACCCCTTCTCACAGACACACACAACCTTTTTTCTTCACACACACAGTTCTTTTCATATCCTGTCAAGTAAAAACAGGAAAACACACGCACAGTATCTCCATGGCCTCACACAGCTGCAGCATCTGCCACGGAATGATCTAGACCCCGAGGGAACACCGTGCAGCCATACATGAGTCAGAATGAGATTGGATGTGACCAAACTGAGTCAGAATGAGATTGGATGTGACCGTACTGAGTCAGAATAAGATTGGATGTGACCGTACTGAGTCAGAATGAGATTGGATGTGACCAAACTGAGTCAGAATGAGATTGGATGTGACCAAACTGAGTCAGAATGAGATTGGATGTGACCATACTGTGTCAGAACGAGATTGGATGTGACCAAACTGTGTCAGAACGAGAGAGGATGTGACCAAACTGAGTCAGAATGAGATTGGATGTGACCAAACTGAGTCGGAATGAGATTGGATGTGACCAAACTGAGTCAGAATGAGATTGGATGTGACCAATCTGAGTCAGAATGAGATTGGATGTGACCAAACTGAGTCAGAACGAGATTGGATGTGACCATACTGTGTCAGAACGAGATTGGATGTGACCAAACTGTGTCAGAATGAGATTGGATGTGACCCAACTGAGTCAGAATGAGATTGGATGTGACCAAACTGAGTCAGAATGAGATTGGATGTGACCATACTGAGTCAAAACGAGATTGGATGTGACCAAACTGAGTCAGAATGAGATTGGATGTGACCAAACTGAGTCAGAATAAGATTGGATGTGACCGTACTGAGTCAGAATGAGATTGGATGTGACCAAACTGAGTCAGAATGAGATTGGATGTGACCAAACTGAGTCAGAATGAGAGAGGATGTGACCAAACTGAGTCAGAATGAGATTGGATGTGACCAAACTGAGTCGGAATGAGATTGGATGTGACCAAACTGAGTCAGAATGAGATTGGATGTGACCAAACTGAGTCAGAATGAGATTGGATGTGACCAAACTGAGTCAGAACGAGATTGGATGTGACCATACTGTGTCAGAACGAGATTGGATGTGACCAAACTGTGTCAGAATGAGATTGGATGTGACCCAACTGAGTCAGAATGAGATTGGATGTGACCAAACTGAGTCAGAATGAGATTGGATGTGACCATACTGAGTCAAAACGAGATTGGATGTGACCATACTGAGTCAAAACGAGATTGGATGTGACCATACTGAGTCAGAACGAGATTGGATGTGACCAAACTGAGTCAGAACGAGATTGGATGTGACCATACTGAGTCAGAACGAGATTGGATGTAATCTCCGCCTCATTTCCTTAGAAATCATCTCATTGTGCTAACTATACTAGACCACTTTTGAAATTGACCGAGCATCGTCACAAAAACAGCTACTATAAATCGGCACTCTGGGGAATACTGAGTAACTGAGCAGACATGGTAGATAGGAAGTACAAACTATGGCAAACTGTTCTTGCAGAATGGGTAGGTCATAAGAAAAGAGAGATCCATAAAGGAGAGGCATTACATCAGTTATGATAGTCACTCATAACCACGCAGACATAAAGACCTGACAGATTCTCCATAAGGTCCATCACACTAGCCCTAATGCACTTCTCTTTCCATAAGTACACTGACAGTAGCTTAACAGCTGACGTTATTGAATCCATACAGCAAATCGTTATCTTACGACTGCACTGATCAGAGAGATTGATGTAGACGGGCAGTGTATAGACCCATTAGGCCGCGGTCGGACATCGGCACATCTGATTGGAGCGTCACTGCCTTGGTAACAGCTCTCTGACAGACACCAACCTTCTCCCGGAATTATAATCGCCGACTGCCCACTGCCTGGGCAAGAGCTAGTGCCCCGTAGGCTGTTAAAGGGACAGTTCACGCAAAACGTTATGTTGTTGTTTTTTGACAGAGAACCTACAGTACGGACAAAAACACTCTGACGGTGTGTTTAGCGGGGTTTGGCGCGTTCAACTTTTCGTTCACTCTTTTTTTGTGAAAAGGGGACAGGTACGCCGGGATTCCACGCAGAAATAGAACGTGCTAATTTTAATCTCCACAGCAGGTAAACTGGAGTCAAAATTCAAGCCACGCCACCATGACACAGCAGATCTGACAGACTGTTACACAACATCAATATAGCCTATTGGCACAAAATTAAATCTGGGTTTGAGTTTTCTTTAAGAAGCCATTACAAACAAGTGCCACCGCTTACAAAAAGCCTACGAATGTGCATAAAAATAGAAATTACTTCAAAATCTGCTCCATGTTTGATGTTTTGCTTCTTGGGTATTTGCAGTGCTGACTCACAGGTTGATGTTTAAAAAACTTCCCAGGATAAAACATCCCTGCCAGTGAGAAAATAACCTTCTTCACTGGTTGGTCTTCAGAAGGCAGTAGACAAGCAGTAGATATCATAGAGGATAGGTAGCGTAGAGTATATGGGTATACGACATATCTAATCAAATGTTTGCTAGATTGAAATTCAAGTGGAGAAAATATCTTCACAAATAACAATTTCTCTTGGTCCATATACGTTAACTGATTGAAGGAGCAAATTGAAGAGCTATCTAACATCAGGTCGCTAAATTGTAAAGTGACCCTGTAAAGACTTGTGACCTCCAGGTTAAGTAGCATCGTTAACGGTTGTTAAAAGATGTAACATGAACATTAATTATGCCAATAATATATTTTCGTAGATTCGACCAGGAAAAACCTGAGGACATCATACATACAAAACATGCACTCTACCACTGAGGTACCAACTCCTCCAATAGGAACCCAGGACATCATACATATAGAGCATGTACTCTACCACTGAGATACCAACTCCTCCAATAGGAACCCAGGACCTCATACACACACAGCATGCACTCTACCACTGAGATACCAACTCCTCCAATAGGAACCCAGGACATCATACATACACAGCATGCACTCTACCACTGAGATACCAACTCCTCCAATAGGAACCCAGGAACTCATACATACAGAACATGCACTCTACCACTGAGGTACCAACTCCTCCAATAGGAACCCAGGACATCATACATACACAACATGCACTCTACCACTGAGATACCAACTCCTCCATTATTCTGAGAATACACTGCTGAATATTGTACGTAAATGTTGTAACTGTAAGAAACCACTTCTCTCTTTCTCACCAGTCACTCGCTCTTAAACCCACCTCAACCGTAAACGTGTGTCCTGTCAGCACGGTTTGTGAGGCGGCCTGCGATTTATTGTGGGAGCTAGCGTTCATTAGAGTTAACGGTAACTTAAAACACGCTGACCGACAGCCGTTGCTCGAGTGCCGTCAACTGCAAACCTGGTGTCTGGACACGTCATCAAATGGCTCAAGGCTCCAGCCAAACATTTCTCATTAGGGGGCGATCACCGCGACCTTGGTTGTCGGCTGACATGTGGGTGTGACAGAGATCACCTTTTACTGTTATGATCTCATCACACAGACTATTTCTGCTCGGCCCTGGGAGTGGCAAATGTTCGCCATGGCTACGATCTATTAAAATGTAAAAAGTCTTCCTCCCTTCCATCGATCTTTCCTACGTCAACCAATTGTCAGCCATAGAGTGTTACCGTGACAACTTGATTGCCATTTCCCTTCCAGTCAAATATCAACGTATTGAACCACGGATAGCCAGTGGTCCTGCCAACTCATATATGGTCATGGTCATGCCAAACCATTCCAGGAGAACCAAACGGATCTGGGACAAAGCTATGGACATTCTACTTCCTGTCGTCTAATAACAATATAACAAACAGAGCTGATTAGCGCCACCCGTGGCAGGATTTAACGAAACACAGTTGTGGAGAATCTCCGACCTAGCTTCCTTTTCCTGGCACAGGCATTTCATTTATGCCTGCAGACATTAACCTGAAGTTCTGCTAATACGGTTTCTGACGGATGTGTATGTCGGAGCGGTCTGATCAGAACACAAACACACGGGGAATATATGAAACTAGGGCTTTCACTGATAACGAGTGACTTCGGATGGCTGTTTGACGCAATACAGAAGCTGGTGGGGTTAGTATGGCGGTTATGGCAATATACTGGTAAAGATAATAAGTAACAACAGGCAATATACAGTTTTTTTTGGGGGGGGGGGTTCTAAGTTCTGGGTCTAGAAAATAGAAACAAATCTATCATCAATCGCCGACGGTTGTTTTTCCAGGCATGTATTATTCAGCGTCGAGGAGAACATCAAATTGTCACCATCAATTCGGGTAGGAGACATTGAAAAAAAGATTGAGGAGGTCGCTGGTTTCAATCCACCATGTAAAACCTTTTAAGAAATTCTCAGTTAACGATTACTGCTCCAAAGTTGTTGCTCGTCGTAATTAAATAGGAATGTGTTCTGAGCGCATCTACCTGGTGAAATAACTTGACTTTTTTTTTATTTCAGCGTGTCCCTGTGCTCCCAGCAGGGGGGGTTGGTGCTGCCAGAGATAAACATCTATCCATGAATACCCATCTCTACAAAGACACACACAAACAAACAGATACACACTCACACACAGATATACACTCACACTCACACTCCTCCCCTCCCCTCTCCTCTCTTTCCTCCCCTCCCCTCTCTCTCTCCTCCCCACCCCTCTCCTCTCTCTCCTCTCCTCTCTCTCCTCCCCTCTCCTCCCCTCTCCTCTCTCTCCTCCCCTCCCCTCTCCTCTCTTTCCTCCCCTCGCCTCTCTCTCCTCCCCTCCCCTCTCCTCTCTCTCCTCCCCTCTCCTCCCCTCTCCTCTCTCCCCTCTCCTCTCTTTCCTCCCCTCTCCTCTCTCTCCTCCCCACCCCTCTCCTCTCTCCCCTCTCCTCTCCTCCCCTCTCCTCTCTCTCCTCCCCTCTCCTCCCCTCTCCTCTCTCTCCTCCCCTCTCCTCTCCTCCCCTCTCCTCTCTTTCCTCCCCTCGCCTCTCTCTCCTCCCCACCCCTCTCCTCTCTCTCCACCCCTCTCCTCCCCTCTCCTCTCCTCCCCACCCCTCTCCTCTCTCTCCTCTCCACCCCTCTCCTCTCTCTCCTTCCCTCCCCTCTCCTCTCTCTCCTCCCCTCCCCTCTCCTCTCTCCTTCCCACTCCTCACCTCTCTCTCCTCCCCACGCCACGCCTCTACTCTCCTCAAGAGGAACGTCACAACGATATGGTAGCAACAGAATAATGACCTAAATATCACTATTTCATATCTAGATATTCCGTCCGTGGGATAAGGATATGGACCTTCGTCATGACCATCCTGGTCTCAAATATTTGATGTATACTCCGCTTGGGCAACCTGCTTAAACAGCTGTATGCCCCTTTATCCTTTATCTACTATGTACACGGATGCTAAACATGACAACGGTCATTCGGTAATGCTAACGCTGTCCTTGGCCAGGCTCTGAGCTCGCGGCCGAGGACCTCTCCGGCTCTGCGTTCTGTCAGAGGACCGCGCGGAGTAATTGGTGACATTGACTGAACGCCGGCAGGATGATTCAGGGCCTGCGATTTATTAGCGTCGACTAATCAGCAAGGCGACGCCGGCTTTGGGATCCAGCCGGAGGTCTGTAAATGACAGGCACCCAGGGCGCCCTGCCGTACGGTGTGAAGGCGTTACAGTCTGATGGGCGGATCGGTCTAATTAGGGGGTACAGGCCACTCCCCCATGGTACACATGGTATCAGAGAGTAGAGGCATTAATATGGAGCTGGAGGGCTATACGATGACCTGACTGACAAGGCTGAAGCAGCGCTGTCTGCTAATTGGTCAACAGATCAACAGCTTGTATACAAGGTGTATTCACCTCTGAGAATCTTCGAGAACGATTTGGCCTCGTGTGCCGTTATAATATTCTCTTCATATGTTCCTGCCTTCTGAGTGCTGTTGAAATTTCTTCTTGCCACTTTCTTCTTCGTCAGCATTGGGTCCAGGCTGGGTGCGTGCACGAGATCTTCGGGTCAACTGAAGATGTTTAAAGCGCTTTATAAAATAATGTAATTGATAGATTGAATGATGGTGAGATACCAACTAGATTTGGCCGGACCCAAGAACCTTGTCTTGGGAGTCACAGCACAAGCAGAAAACAGCAGAAAAACACTACGCCAGCCAATATATTCTATTGTTTTTTCTGTGGGTAGAGTATGAATTACTGAGCTCAACGGCATATCTTTGGCTAATCTTTGGTAATTTGCTGAATTCCCTTCTCCGCATGAGCATCGTCTTAAATCTGCTTTGCCGGCAAATGTGATGCATACTGGAGAAATCTGCACACCGGCAATTCATAACTGGAAACTTTTTCACATAAATATTTGACAACGGTCATGATTCAAGTGCTACATGGAAAGTGATGTAGACTCAGCAATTAAAGAGATGGGCGAATGGGAAAAGGATTTAGTTGAGCAGACAGCCGAACAGATATGTGTGTTGTATGTATCACTGGGGTCTGCCAGAGAAAGAGACCGTGTGTTAAAATATCAAACAGCTTATTCTGAGTGAAACTCCACCATATGTGGCCATCACACCCCGATCTCATAAACACATAAGGGCACGTGCTGTTTGTTATCTCGGATCTCCCCTCAATGTCCCCAGAGCCGACGGTCTCCTTAGACCCTGATGTCCTCCTTAGCCCCTGATGTCCTCCTTAGACCCTGATGTCCTCCTTAGACCCTGATGTCCTCCTTAGACCCTGATGTCCTCCTTTGCCCCTGATGTCCTCCTTAGTCCCTGATGTCCTCCTTAGACCCTGATGTCCTCCTTAGACCCTGATGTCCTCCTTAGACCCTGATGTCCTCCTTAGCCCCTGATGTCCTCCTTAGACCCTGATGTCCTCCTTAGACCCTGATGTCCTCCTTAGACCCTGATGTCCTCCTTAGACCCTGATGTCCTCCTTAGACCCTGATGTCCTCCTTAGACCCTGATGTCCTCCTTTGCCACTGATGTACTCCTTAGTTCCTGGTGTCCTCCATAGTCTGTGAAGTCCTCCTTATTCCCTGATGTCCTCCTAAGCCCCTGATGTCCTCCTTAGCCCCTGACCTCCTCCTTAGCCCCCGACCTCCTTCTTAGCCCCTGGCCTCCTGTTTAGCCCCTGGCCTCCTCCTTAGCCCCTGGCCTCCTGTTTAGCCCCTGGCCTCCTCCTTAGCCCCTGGCCTCCTGCTTAGCCCCTGGCCTCCTGCTTAGCCCCTGGCCTCCTCCTTAGCCCCTGGCCTCCTCCTTAGCCCCTGGCCTCCTCCTTAGCCCCTGGCCTCCTCCTTAGCCCCTGCGCTCTGAAGCAGGCAGCCTGTTGGGAACTTGTCAGTTGGCAACTTTGAGTAATGCAGAGGACCACTAGGTCAGCTCTCCTAAGTGGCAGAGAGTTTCAAAAACAACTGGCCTTCTGGGGTCTGACGGTCAGACAAAAAAAGATCACAACCAGACCATAGAATTATCGTACCACAGCCAGACCATAGATACAGACCACAATCTGACCTCAGCAAGCAGCCATGATAACTGCTAGACCCCAAACAGACCTGGCAGAACCCAATCCAAACCAAAACACAACTAAACTCCCACCAGAAGTCAACCCAATCCAAACCAAAACACAACTAAACTCCCACCAGAAGTCAACACAATCCAAACCAAAACACAACTAAACTCCCACCAGAAGTCAACCCAATCCAAACCAAAACACAACTAAACTCCCACCAGAAGTCAACCCAATCCAAACCAAAACACAACTAAACTCCCACCAGAAGTCAACCCAATCCAAACCAAAACACAACTAAACTCCAACCAGAAGTCA